ACCTTGGATGAATTTCTGGCTACGCCAGTGCATGGTACCAAGATATGAAATCTGGCTAAATATGGAGCCAACGGGGTACCAAGCCGATAGGGCGACAATGTACCAACTTGATAAGATTCTAAAAACTAAGTATAGATCCAAGAGGGTACCAAGCCGACAAGACATGCCTGGTAATTGGGAGGATGAGGCCTAACTAAATCTCTATGGTCGTTGCATTCACTTTCTCATAGTCGTCACTATGACTTCTGTGATCTTCAATTTTTATACTTGGTTATCAGATTTCAACTCTCATCCAAACTTTATCATTGATTTTTTTCCGTCTTCAAAGTTATATTGGAAATGAATAGCTTTTGAAAGTTACAATAAAGTCTAAAATACCACATTGGTGAATAAGGCACTACAGAAGGTGAGTAAAGATAGATTCCCTCTCAAAAGGGTGTAGCCTTTGCGGTTGCCCAATTTTATGGAAGAGCGAGGATCTAAGTGGACTTCAATCCACACATGTGTTTCGTTCATCCGTTGTGCAAGTAGGTGGGTGGGTTGATCGGCTTAAGATTATAATATTTTTGGAGAATGATGAATTAATTATTCATTATCTTTCCATATACGTAAGAGATAATTACTAAATGAACTTTTATCTTACTGCGGTTAATTAAGAATATAATTATCTTCCTTAACCGTGTGGTTGATTCCCCACGAAAGAGGAAAACCTAGGGGGTTTATGCCTCTATAAAAAGCAGCCTCACAAACACTTTAGATACACAATTCTGACAGCAAAAAAAAAAAAAAAAAGAGTGAGCATTCTTCAAAGATCTCCGGATATTGCACAAACATAGAGTCGAGAGAGGGAATGGATCTTATTCGGTAAAAACAGGGTATCATCTTGCCTTGGATAATATCTTAATACTCAGCCAAAAATCGATGGCTAATATCATTGATCCTCCTGTTTGGAAAAGAATGTGGGCGCTCGACGTCCCGCCAAAGCTCAAGTTCTTTATATGGCAATGTTTGAAAGTTATTTTGCCAACTATGACGACTCTTAGGTCCTGGGGAATTAACTGTCAAACTCGTTGTCCAGTTTGTTGGGATAGTCAAGAGAGTATTGAACACCTCTTCTTTCATTGTCCACCTGCTCTTCACCTTTGGAATATGGTGGGACTAAGTAGCTTACTTCTCTCCGCCCCAGCTGAAAACTTTGGGATCTGGTGGCGATATGTTATGAACTCGGAGAGCTTCCAAATCCACTATCTCCCCTGCATTTGCCTTCTTTGGAGAATTTGGAAATCTAGAAATAAAGTGGTGTTCGAATTCACTCAACCACTAGCCAGTTCGCTTGCCCGTCAATTCTTCTTCCAAGTTCAAGAATACTCCTCTATCTCCCCCCTCCCCCAAACCCTTCCTCCTCGACTGCAGCCCTCTCGTCCTTCCAGTTGGGTTGGTCCTCCCGAAGGTTTTCTCAAGATCAATTTCGACGCTGCTGTTCGAGACACGGGTTGCTCGTCTGGCATCGTAGTTCGAGGTCCGGATGGGCAAGTCTTCTTGGCCTTGGGGTTCCATCATCCAGGAATTTCGAACCCTTGGGGTGCCATCGCTTTACTGCTTACTCGCAGTATTCCTCTCGTCATCATCGAAGGAGATTCAGAGGAAGTTATCCGGCAACTTGAAGGCAGATGCTTTGAAGACTCGGTGGGCGGGCCCTTACTTCGTGATTGTTTTCAGTTATTGAGATCCTGTTCTGCTTGTTTTCTTTTTAGTTCGGTCCCGAGGACTGTCAACTGGGCTGCCCATAGAGTGGCAAGACAAGCCCTGCTGCTGTCCCCTGTAGAGATAGCGTCCTTCGATTTTGTAGGGTGGCTCCGCTAATTGTTCTTTTTTTGGTGTTGGGTAGAGGATTTAACTATTGTACTTTGATATTACTTGGAAAAAAAAAGAGTCGAGAGAGGGAGGACGAGAAACAAGGAAGTTATATGTGTTGCTAGCTATTCATTGCAAAATCAGAAGGAAATTACTTCTTGAAAAGAGGTAAGAGTTGTGACCTTTATCGTGAGTCATTAATAAATAACAAATAAGAACTATACTCAATTTGTGTAAGTTGGAGTACCTAAGTGACGGCCCAAGATAGGGTCAGTAATCACAGGTTACTGACCCATCAGTAATCACACGCGGACCGTAGATTTGAGGATGGAGCAATCGTGTGGCTGGGCTGGATGGGGGGTGTTGAGGGGCATTTTTGTCCATTTTTGTATTTTTACTTTTTTATTTATTCCGCATTTCAATGCTGGCTTTTTCAATGAAAGAGAGAGAAGTCTTGTCTCTGCAACTCAACTTTCTTCCTTCTCTCTTCCTTTTTTACAATCTCTTTCTCTATTCCTTCTCTCTTGCTTTTTCTCTCACAATCTCATTTTCAAATCTAGATCTGCTCTCTTTCTTCTTCATTTTTTTCTCTAGCATAAAAATTGTAGTCACTCTCTTTTATTGCATTTCTTCTCTTCATCAACTCGTTGAACTCAATTCCGATCTTTCTCATTTTTTTGGCATTTTGGTGTTCTTGATTGGGGAAGAGGAAATGAGAGGCATCAGAAGACGATTTTTTTTCTCTCCCTCCTTCTTTTTTTTCCTTTTAGATAATATATATTGATATTATGACTCTATACCATATGGTATTGGGTAGTAACGAAATATATATTGATATTACCACTCTATACCATATGGTATTGTGTGGTAACGAAATATATATTGATATTACCACTCTATACCATATGGTATTGTGTGATATTACTACACTATACCATATGGTATTGGGTGGTAACGAAATATATATTGATATTACCACACTATACCATATGGTATTGGGTGGTAACGAAATATATATTGATATTACCACACTATACCATATGGTATTGGGTAGTAACGAAATATATATTGATGTGGCAAATTCATACCATATGGTATGCTCTTATTTAATACTAGTCAATACCATATGGTATTATGGTATAGTCGATACCATATGGTATAGACTGGTAATAACTGGAAAATTTTTTTGTGTCAAAACAATATCAAAGTGGATATCATTTTGAAGAGCATAATTAATCTGATCTAACTGTGCAAAAAAAATTAAATTTCGACTTAAAACGAGTGAGAAATCGTCCGTTAAAGATTAAGGGAAGGAAAATTAAAGGTTTTTCTAGGAAAGAGAAGGAGGTCCTGATGTGGTCGGTCAAAAGTCCGTGTCAGCAATGAAGAGGGAATAAGTGTAATTTACCTTACTACCCTTTAGCATTTAATTTAAATAAAAAAGTAACTGACATGTGGAGAGAGGAGAGGGGGTTACTGATGGGTTACTCACCCATCAGTTACTCACCCGATCTGCTCCCCCTAAGTGACCATTGAACCACACACAAGCCTCGCACATCCACTTGAGTGAATGGGTGGCTGAGTTGGTCGGCTTGAGATTATACTATTTTTGAGAAATTTAGAATTAATTATTTGGTATCTTTCAAGATACGGAAGGGATAATTAATAACTGAATATTTGTCTTACTAGATTAGTTTGTGGTTGATTAAGAGAATAATTATCTTCCTTAACTGTGTGACTTATTTCACACTAAAAAGGAAAAAAACTAAGTTTTTGCTCTTATAAATAGCATACCTCTCAAATCCTATAGAGGCACAATTTAGAGAGCATTAACATGAAGTGAGTGTTCTTCATAGAGCTCTAGTTTTTGCCAAAATCGATAGTCAAGAAAGTTCATGTTTTATCCTAGATGCGATTGAACGATAGTCTGTGTGCGCAATATGAGGTAGTGCCGCAAATGTCTTATACACAGTGACTAGTCCATAATGTTAAAGGTACAAGTTTAGTTTGTACCATAAATGAATTTCTTTGGAAAGGTATAGGTACAAAGTAAATTGGTACCATAACGTTAAAAAGCCAAGTTCAGTTTGTACCATAAACAAATTTGTATGAAAGATATAGGTAAAAATTGAGTTTGTATAACATCAAAAATACAAGTTCAGTTGTACCATAATTTTTGTATTTTGTGTACTTGTTATGAGATATCTCTATTCAGGCCATTAAATCGAGTTGAGGTATATGATGATATACTCTAACTTCAAATGGATAAACCCTAAGCCTAATTCTTTAAACCCAAACCCAAAGTTAATTTAATGTAAAATTATAATTGACCGTTGAAATTGATTGGAGATCATCAAAATACAAGTACATCTAACGGTCAGATCACGTTAAGTATACTATACATTAATTGGGTTCGCAAGTTGCAATTGTACGTTGATGGCACGGATGAAATTGAAATAAATTTGAGATAATTGTGTTTGCTAAAAATATAGACTCGTATATGAAATTACAAATGAATAAATACATTAATAAAAATAATCTAATAATTCTGACTGAATAACGTAAGAAATCAAGTAAGTTTGATTTGAAGAAAAAAAAGACTTAATTTGAGAGAAAAAAATGGATGAAAGAAATCAAGGAAACAATCACACCCAAATTGTCCGGAAGATGCGGTGGAAGAATAGGTCCGCACGACGTACAGCGGTTTACGGAATCCCGCCAAAGACACCTGTCAATTCTCGGCGGGGAATCCAGCTCCCCCACGTGGCTTTCCCGCCAATCAGCGACGCAGAGCCGCCGAGCATTAAAATCTCCGGCGGCCACCACCGGCCCGAGCAGCAAAACAAACAGCATCCATCAAGGCTGAGATGGAGGCTGGGCCGGAAGAAGAAGAAGAAGAAGAAGAAAAAAAAGGGGTCAAGCTGAGGTGTCAGATTGGAGATGGCATAGCATGTGATTGACCGCCCCACCCCACATGAGTCGTGGGATGGCAGAGTTGAAAACTAAATAATAAAAATCGGGAAAAAAAAAACAAAAAAACAAAGAGGGAAGTCTGTTAGTGGCGGTGACTTACGATTTCTACCTTTACCCAAGGGGTAAAATTCAGCGGGGGGATGACTTGGCTTAGAAATAAATCCCACGTTAGGCGGGGGTAATGCGCACCGGCAAAATTTCTTTTCTGCTATAAAACGGGTCTCTCTGCTTGAGCTTTTCTTTGACTCCTCTCATCTCCTCTCTCTTATTCTTTTCTTACCTAGATCCCCGTCGTACAAACTGAACTGAGGCAGAGAGAAAGCGAGAGAGAGAGAGAGAGAGAGAGAGAGAGAGAGGTCGTAAGGCAAGATTTGAAAGCCGGTCTTTTGGTGAAGGTTTTCTTGTAAGAAGTCGGAAGCAATGGCGTATTCGCTTCCACGGATAGCCACACTGCTGGTTTTGGCTCTGTTTTTCGTCGCAGCAGCTGCGGATGAGGAACAGCAGCCGCTCAATTTGAGGTACATTTTCCTTTCCGCTCTGTTCAGATTCCGGCGACTAGATTCAGTACCACAAACTTCCGATGTTCTGCTTCAAACGCGGCAGTCTCTGTTTTCCTCTGTCAATTAGTTCTAGGGGCGCTTGAGCTTAAAATCAATCAGTTGTCCCTTCTTTTTCCTGGTCCACTGTATGAAATCATGTGATTTGGTATGAAAAACAAAACTCTTCAAGGTGATTAAATCCGTTTGGCAATCATATATGTGTGTCCGCAGGAAGGAGGAATCGCTGGAGCTGCTGCAGAGCTGGAAGAAGAATTCCTCGATCGCTAGCAACAGGTCAGTTGCTATTTTTTTTGCTACCAGAATATGCTACGGTCTTGGGTGTTGAGAAATTCAAAAAACTCCGTAGTGTTGTTTTGTGCTGTTGGCGCTAATTGCAAACACAGTTTAGGTTTCAAGATTTAGGTTGCTGCTCGCCGAACAGTAAACAGTATAAGGGATCAAACAGTAGAAATTCCTCATCAGTTTGAACTAAACAGTTGGTCACAGATTGGCAGTTTGATTCTTGAATACATGGAATTCAACGGAACGAGAAAGATAGAATGAGCGAAGAAAAAGGAAAGAAAAAAACATGGAATCCGGATTCCCCTCCGCGTTAGTTGCGAACAAAATTGAGCTTTTCCCACTTGGCTTTTTTAACAAATTGAAAACTGCAGGGTGGAGAAGGAGGACCAGGACGAGGTGCGAAATGAGCATGCTGTGGACAACCCGGAGGAGATTGCTGAATCAGTGAACCAGTGAGTAATTTTTGTTTCCTTTTTTTTTTCATTTCTCTCTCTTTTTGGTTTGTGCCTTTTTCTCAATTGCGAACCAATCACATGCCAGATTTGACAGATAGGAGGAATTCTTTTATTAATTATGTGTTGGTCTGGTGAGGTGAGTTAATTTCCATGTGCTCAAGGCCGTGGTCCCTAGAGCTAAAAGAGAACACTCTAATGTGCTCACATGACCAATGGAAGAAACTAACAAAATTGGCAAAAATTAAAAAAAAGAAAACAAAGAGAATAAACTAACAAGACAGAGCAGGGAAAAGAAAAGAAATTGTAGATGTCCTCACTCCTAATTAATCTTTCTTTTCACTCTATCTAACTCTTAATTAACCAACTAACCTCTGTCCCAACTCCCAACCAAATTCTTTTATCCAAATACGGGAGAGGAGGGTAGGAAAAACAAATGAAAGATAACGTACACAGAGTGTATGTTGTGCTTCATTTCATCAGGAATTTCCATTTCCACCCATACCTTATAATGTTAAGTAGATGAACAAGTGCCAGAATTGGAGGTTAGCGCAATTATCCAACCACCGAGTCCCATGTTTTACACTCTTCTGTTGCATTCACTACATACACTTTGTCTGTCTTTCCAGTTGTGCCCTCCTTTTTTACAACTTAGGGGTCGTTTGGAAGTTGTTATTGTGAATGTTATATTTATAGAATACATGCATGGTTCACAATACAACGTTTGGAATTGTCAAAGTGCAAAACAATGCATATATTGTTTTGTGTGAGTCCCACCTACAATCACAAAAAAAAAAGGTATTATACAATCTCAACTAAAAATGAGATTGTTGTGATTGTTACTTTTAGGTTTATATCTCCTTTTTATTTCCATTTATATCATTAGTAAAGGTGGGAAAGAGTTATATGTTGTATGCTAAAATAAAGGGTAAATGTGATATTTCCACCGAAAAGTTACTCTATATAAGTTAATCACTAACCTATAAAATCAACAACCAAACAATGTAATGTTAAATGCAACGGTTGTATCAATACATGTATTATATATTGCAATGGTTCTTCACAATACAACGATTTAACATACGCAACTTCCAAACCACCTGTTAGTGAATTAACAATTAGAAGCCCAGCATCCTTATTTCTGCTACGTGCGTTCTCCAGACCTTAGCTTAACTGCTAGTGCACATGCCCATGTTGTGTGGGATCCGCATCTCACGGCTCTTTTACTTGTAGTATTTGATATATTATTTCATCTTTGTACTCGCCAGCCCGTCAAGAGCCCGCCCCCATCAGTTATTTGTCATTCTCTGCTCTATCCGAGCGAGCTCTTTTGGCATTTTTGGCAGATCTCGCACCAGCACCAGCATCTGCCAATTCTGATAGTCACATATCTATAGTTATTATAGACATTAAATGAGACCCATTTTTATTGTTACACCGACAGAGCCAGGAACAGAGAAGAGACAGGAATTAGTTCTCCTCCACCATCCCCACCGTCGCATTTATGAAAGAAGCCATTATTATTGCAGCCTTTTTCCTTCCTTCTTTCCGTATGGACCGTATTCAAGTATCCGGTATCCATCTCCCACATGCCCTTCCATCTTTCCGCATGTGGCTCTGCCTGCACAAATTCTGCAACTGCCAACTAGACCAATATTTAGTCCCAACACTCTCTCTTTCGTTTCATAATTTAAGATTATCAATTAATTTGCTACAATGAACTTTATTTTCCAGGAGCATTATGAACAGTACGGCCAGAAGGAACCTGGGATACTTCTCTTGCTCCACGGGCAATCCAATCGACGACTGCTGGCGGTGCGACCCCAACTGGCAGTCCCACCGCAAGCGCCTCGCCAACTGCGCCATCGGCTTCGGCCGCAACGCCATCGGCGGCCGGGACGGCCGCTACTACGTGGTGTCGGACCCGGGCGACGACGACCCCGTGAGCCCGAGGCCCGGGACACTCCGACACGCCGTGATTCAGGACAGGCCGCTCTGGATCGTGTTCAAGAGGGACATGGTGATCACGCTGAAGCAGGAGCTCATCATGAACAGCTTCAAGACCATCGACGGCAGGGGAGCCAACGTCCACATCGCCAATGGAGCCTGCATCACAATCCAGTTCGTCACCAACGTCATCATCCACGGCCTCCACATCCACGACTGCAGGCCCACCGGGAACGCCATGGTCCGCAGCTCCCCGATCCACTACGGGTGGCGGACCATGGCCGACGGAGACGGGATCTCCATTTTCGGGTCCAGCCACATTTGGGTCGACCACAATTCCCTCTCCAACTGCGCCGACGGCCTGGTGGATGCCATCATGGGCTCGACCGCCATTACCATCTCCAACAACTTCTTTACCCACCACAACGAGGTGATCCTGTTGGGACATAGCGACTCCTACACGAGGGACAAACAAATGCAAGTGACGATTGCCTACAACCATTTTGGGGAAGGACTTATCCAGAGGATGCCAAGGTAAAAAAAAAGCAAATGAGATAGATAGAACCAAGAGATTCATGCTATTGGAAACAAACTTGATCGGGAAAATTGATTGATTTTTGGGTGGCAGGTGTCGGCACGGCTACTTCCACGTGGTGAACAACGACTACACACACTGGGAAATGTACGCGATTGGAGGAAGTGCGGATCCTACAATTAACAGCCAGGGCAACCGATACCTTGCTCCTGCAAACCCTTTTGCTAAGGAGGTATTATACGTTTGTACTTAACTAAATTACTGCATTTTCCCCCCCTTCTTTTCTGTTGTTGTTGTTGTTGTTAATGATGAAGATGATGAAACTTTGGCAGGTGACAAAGAGAGTGGACTCAAACGGAGGGGTGTGGAAGAGTTGGAACTGGAGATCACAAGGGGATCTGCTTCTGAATGGAGCATACTTCACAGCATCAGGAGCAGGGGCAGGGGCCAGCTACGCCAGAGCTTCCAGCTTAGGGGCAAAGCCCTCGTCTTTGGTTGGCATGATGACCTCAACTGCTGGTGCTTTGGGCTGCCGCAGGGGCCGCTCATGCTGAGACACAAACAGATCATAAATTACACCAAACCAAAAGAAACAAAAAAAAAAAAAAAAACAGGAAACTAATATAAAAAAAAAAAACAGAGAGAACTTCAGCTCAATTCCTCCTAGAGTGCGAGTTTGCCACCCCATATATTCTGTTCGAACCCCCCCTCTTTCTTCTTCTTCTTTCTTTCCTTGTCTTCTTAGTATATCTCTATCAATTCACCACTGCCATTACTCTCACCAGCAATGGGAATGAGAATGGGAATCACAACAAGCTAAGTGTAAATTAGGGAAATTCTTGGTACATGCTTGTGTGCCGCATTCACCCTTGAACTCCTCATGCCGCCGCCGCCACCACCACCCTGTTCCGAATTTAAGATTTGGGTATGGAACGACCTCGGCCAATCTCTTGCACTTTTGACGTGCTGCAGTGTTGTTCTTCACTCACTTGTTTTTATTTTTTTTGCCCCCTTTTTGTAATTCCTTTCTCTTTCTTTTTTACTTCTTTTTTTCACTTAAATCATTTCTCTTGTACTATAATTGCATGAACTCTCCAATTTCTGGAGTATTGCAAAAATATATTAAATCAAAATGCAATATTTCCTTCATGTAGTAATACTTGTATCACGGTAAACACTCATGATCTCATCCTTATGCTATGGTTCTTGTAAATCTCTAGTTTATAATAAGGTCGGGTATTATATTTTTTTTTCGATAATTAACATATTTTGTTAAACTTTTTCAGCCAACTTGACCAAGCGCCTAGAAAAACGCAGACAAATACACTGTCAACAAATGCAACCACATTTGGGTTTACCTTAAATCAAAACTCTAAGAACATGCAACTTTTAAGCTCTGTACAAAAATTTGTATTTCCCATAAGCTACAAGTAAAATTTCTTCTTGAAACGACCATAATAGCGCAGGCCAGTCCAACCCTTTACATTAAAAAATCCGGGTACATCTTTCCTTTCACAGCGAATAAACAGGCCAACACTAAATGAAACTAAACCTCTTGTCAAAAGAGCATGCTTCCTTAATTCTGTTCTCCCACAAGCATGCATCAAAACACCAAAAATAGAGAAAGAAAGATTTTGGCTAACACACAATTAGGGGTGGCAGTTCGGTTGCCGGTTAGCGGCTAACCGAAAGCCGACTATATAGGGTCTCGATCGGTGGTCGGAGTGGTTGGTAGGAGAGTCGGCTAGCCGAGCAACCGAAATCAGCTAGCCGAGTAACCGAGGTCAACCGACCCATATAAAACCCACGCCCAAAAGCCCACCCCAAACCCTATCCTCCTTCTCCTTCGTCGACCTCGACCCCTCCCTTCCCTCACCACCAGCAACCACAGACACCACCAAGGCACCAACCTTCTCCTTCGTCGACCTAGATCTCTTCTTCTCCCATCAACCTTCTATTCTTCCACCCTGTTGATGCCTTAAACGGTGTCGTTTTTAACTGAGCAGCACCGCTTGATTCTACCCACTGCCAAGTCAATTCGACCACACGCTTGGTCAACTACGTTGGCGAAACTCGCGTGTTCAATGTGCACTGGTTTCAAGTAAACACAAATACAAAATCAGCAAAAAATCATCAAATATCCGCCGCCGATGTCGGCGCCGTTGATTTGATCGATTAAAACACACCCTCACCTCCACAGACACCACCACCACCAGCACCAGCCGCCGCCCTCCCCTGCCTCCTTTGCTCCCCCTCCTTCCACCGCCACCATAACTTCCTCCACGGCTCCGCCTCCAACCGTCGCGACCTGCATGCAACAGCCTCCACCACCCGCCGCGCCGCGCCGCCTGCCGCCTCCAACCGCCGCCGCGCGAACGCCGTCTCCCTCCGCCTCTGTCCACCGGCTTCGCGAGGTCGCTCCTCCCTCTCCCGTCGGCGGCAAGCCTTCCTTCTCGGCTGCTTTTTTTTTTATGGTTAATCACTCGACTGCTTCTTGAATCTTCGGGAGCAGGTTCTGTTGATTGAGCTAAGAGATTTAGTGTTGGTTGCGGGCAGAGAAGCCGCAGACGAACGACGCCCCTCCGGTTACCGGCGGTGCGTATGATTTTGAGAGGGCGACGAGCTCTCTGGCCGGGAAGTTGCTGTCTCGCCAAAGAAGGTTACGATTGTGGAAAAGAAAGGAGAAAGAAGGATGGAGGAGAGAGAAGGAGCAGATAATGAATGTGGTGGTGGTGGAGGGTTTGAAAGGAAAGATAAGGAATAAGTGGTTCCTGTATTTTTTGATTTTTTTTTTACTTTAGGGTGTGGTTTTCGGGCATGAGGTTAACCGAACCAAAACCGGCTAACCGACCGGTCGGTGGTTGGCTAGCCGCTGTATCTTTCTCGGTCGGTGGGCGGTAGCCGGATGTGGTCGCTCGGTTTAACCGATAACCGATAAATCGGTTTTCGGTTAAACCGAAACCAACCGACTGCCACCCCTACACACAATGCCCAAACAAGTGATCCCTGCTTTCTTCTACAACACAACATAGCACACAGGAAGAATAGGAGATCCACTATTCATAACATTTCATGATCTAGTGGTTGTTTCTGTGAGCCCTTTCTTGCAGCGACTAGTCCACTTTCCAGTCTTCCCGACGACTGGTCCTCCCTCCAGTCCCATGCAGTTTGTTTTTCTAGTAACATCGTTCTCCTTATCTTTCCATCTACTCCATTGAGAGCACTGTCAATCTTAAGTGTGGGGGTGTTTATCTTTGACTGCATAGATGTGTTTGTGTGCTTGGAGTCTAGTCCACTGTCCAAATTTTAAGATTTGAGGGCTCCAAGTATGTGTTCCTTGCAATTGTCTACTCAGTATGCTTTGAATTGACAGTCTTTATAGTACTATGCAACCTAGGGAGGTAGTGTAGCACTATGGAGGATGCTGAAGTATAAGATCATTCCTATCTTTCTCTTTGCAGTGTCGGTTGATTGCGAGAACTAGTGGCTTTAGGACATTTGATTCATGTGGTATCGATGAATCTCCTTGTGTTGTGGACTCATGTATCAAAAGGGTGCTCAGTTCTGCTGAATCAGAAGCATCTGGTCCTTCATGTAAAAAATTTGAAGCATGGGGTAAGCCCAACGTGTGTGGCACCGTTCATTGCACAAAATCGGGTTTTGCAAGAGATTTTAGTGATCCTTAGTGGGGTAAGCCTACAAGGTGAAGCTAAGACGTCTCTAGTACAAGTAAAAATTCCACTCGTTGAACGAATCGCCTACTCGAGGATGTGTTTTTAAGGGCACGGATATAGCTTCCGACCCTACTTAATTTCATTGACCCTCTACACGAATTGAGGAAAATGAGTTAAAAGAAGTACTCTAGCGAGCGACAGATGTACAGAAATTACTCTTTCTCAACCAATAAGGGTCGACCGCGCAAAAAACCGCAGTTTGGAACCCCAACAATGTGTGAATGCAAAGAAAAAAATAGAAAGGAACAAAATAAGAAAAGGGGTTCCACAAATGAAATGAAATGGAAAGGGAACCGATACGAGGTGTCCTTGGTTGCTGTGTTGGAGTAGTCTCTTCATCCATGAATTGTCTATCCTAGATCCATTATTTTGCATGAACCTGGCTTGAGTCTAGTACTCGCATTAAGAGAAATAGGGGATGTCTTAGAAAACAGGTTGACCTCATAAGCTGCTAAATGACCTATGAAGTCCTCTACCAACGATCGGGGTTGCATATTTCTGTAAAGGTCTGGAGAGTTGCATGGTTTTAGTCAGGTTTGCTTGGGGACAAGCAAACGGTTAAGTGTGGGAGAATTTGATAACACCGTATTTATACATGTTTTTCCCGACATTTCTCGACCGTTTGTCTTAGCCGTTGATTGCTTTTTGGCCCAATTTACGCTGGGTAGTGCTCGTCAGTGATGTTTCGGGTCCTAGCACGTAAATTGAGGTTGAGGAGCAAGTCTGGGTGCAACTGGAGAGCGGACGAGAACCGCAGGCCAAAGTAGCAAAATCCACTGTCTGGTGCCTCAATTCCATGACCGTGGATTCCATGAATTGACCGTGCTTATTGTCCAGGGGAAATCCCCGGTGTGGTGCCTCCATTCCATGAGCGGAGAGTTCAGGTGGCCAATCGTGGATTTGGTTCGAGAGCCAATTATCGTTGCGCGCCGTTTTGAAAATTCACTATCTGAATTCCAATTCCATGACCGCTTAATTAAAACAACAAAAATTCATAAAAATATTATATTTATATGCTAAATATAAAATATGTTAGAGAAAAATATTGATTATTTTTAGGCAACATATATATACATGTGTATATATATACTGCTAAGTACTTCGGGTTCGGGTTGGATAGTGAGAAAACCATGCCCACCCATCATCCACAATATTCGGGTTCGGGTTTTACCCTTGCCCACTAAAAGTACTTCGGGTTCGGGTTTTACCCTGCCCAATTAGGTCGGATTCAGGCGGATATCCACGGTTACAGATATTTTTGCCATCACTATCGGAAAATAGCTTGGATTCTCTTAAACTAACCAAACCCTCTTAGACAGATTATCCGGCAGGCGACTAGCCTTCAACGGGATAAACTGTTAAGGCGATTCACGCAGATCTCCACTACTTGGAACGAATTCCAGTACAAAGTAATGAATTGACTGAGTCTCGCACAATCAATTCACTACTATCAATCAAGGAAGCTCTGTTGACCTAATCAGATTCTATCTATCATAGGTTAAATCAGAAATCAAGAGAATATGATCAGGATTCAATTGATTCAATAAATCATGCCTCAATCAATTAAAATCAATAAGTATAGCATCCAAAAGTTCATATAAGAAATATCCTAACACAGGGAACTAGGGTTCCTCAAAACCTAAGTGAAGGGAAGTTACTCCATAGAGATGAGAGAGACTACAAAAATCTTATCTAGATCTTCAATCTCCATTTCCAAGCTTGATTCCCGAGCTCCAATGGTGAATAAATCCTCCAAAACAACTCCAAAAATGATCCCAACTTGCTCTGTCTCTCTCTATGGTTCGTCCATTGGGTGTTTGGGTTCAAAAGCCCAGTCTCCCTCTCCAAAAATCGCAGAAACAGACTTATACCCGAGCAGGACAGAAACATGATTGTATTTCTCAGGTCGTGCTTTCGTCCGCCCATGTTTTGACTAGATCATGTGTTTTCCTTTAGCTGGGGGACGACCAATTCCACAGTCGCATATGGTGAAACACGACCGTGTTCAGATCTGGACTTGCCCGTATTTTGCATCTCTTTAGCAGTCTTTACTAGCCATGCTACCACTAAAAAGCACGGTCGAGGTGCTGGAGGAACACGTTCGTGTTCTTATGGAAACCCGCCCGTGTTTAGCTCTAGGATCGTCACCAGGCTCGACATAAAAAGCATTGGCGAGGTGCTGAGTGAAACACGATCGTGTTTTTAGGAAAGGTTGCCCGTGTTTCTCTCTCGACTCCATGTTTGAGAGGCTTTTGAGTGACCAAACGACATCCGATTGACCTTAAACTTGTGTGTATGCCTCCTTTTACTCGCTAGGACCTGAAAGATGAAAAAATAATACAACCTAGCGTAAAATAGGCAAAGGAGAACACTAATCAAAGCCAAATTGATCAAGAAATGAGGGTGTAAACATTTGTAAATATCGTGTTATCAACAACCCTAAACCAAACGACTAGATAACAACAAAGTGAGAAGTAGCCTAGTTTAACGAAACACGTGGAATATGACCTTGGTCGACCACTATATTAACAACGTGCCTTGAGTTATACTTGGCTCAAGATGTATTTGTTAATACAAGCCATGCGATCGATCGAATAACCCGCACGAGGTCGCACCAATATGTTGTATATGTATTGTGACAGATGTAGTGTAAAGAAGAAGTTACACAAGCTAGATTCGACAACGGAGAGACGTAGCAATACTTTCCAATAGGGGTGGCTATACGGTCTGGTTAAATTGGCACAAATTGATCCGGTCCAGTCCAGTCTTTTTGAAAATATAAGGACCAAAGATTGGATTGGATACAGTCCGGTTTTGACCCTGTCCGGTCCCAATTCGGTCTTGATTTTATATTGAGCTTGTGGGGATTTGAGTGGCCTAAGGTCTGAAAGGGTGAGGAGTTGGTTAAGTTTTGTATCAACAACCCTAAACCAAACGACTAGATAACAACAAAGTGAGAAGTAGCCTAGTTTAACGAAACACGTGGAATATGACCTTGGTCGACCACTATATTAACAACGTGCCTTGAGTTATACTTGGCTCAAGATGTATTTGTTAATACAAGCCATGCAATCGATCGAATAACCCGCACGAGGTCGCACCAATATGTTGTATATGTATTGTGACAGATGTAGTGTAAAGAAGAAGTTACACAAGCTAGATTCGACAACGGAGAGACGTAGCAATACTTTCCAATAGGGGTGGCTATACGGTCTGGTTAAATTGGCACAAATTGATCCGGTCCAGTCCAGTCTTTTTGAAAATATAAGGACCAAAGATTGGATTGGATACAGTCCGGTCTTGACCCTGTCCGGTCCCAATTCGGTCTTGATTTTATATTGAACTTGTGGGGATTTGAGTGGCCTAAGGCCTGAAAGGGTGAGGAGTTGGTTAAGTTTTGTACTAAGTGCAAAGGTTTGTGACCGTTTATGCAAATTACCCTTAAGTTTTGGGTGTTGAGATCTCTTATCCGGTCTTTATCCAGTTTTCGATCCGGTCCCGAACGGTTTTTTACCTCAAATCTAAGCCCAAAGATTGGATTGGATTGGATTGGATTGTTTACTATCCGGTCTCGGTCGGGGTTATACGGTCCGGTTTCGGGTAAAATCAAAAAACCTGGACCAAATAGCCAGCCCTACTTTCCAAAGGGACTGATTTCATGTTCAGGTGAAAATTGTAGAAACACTTGTTGATTAAGGAGAACTAAGGCAAGATTATCACAACCAGGAGAAGATGCTTACACGGAGGGACATAGTTAAACAAGCAATTCATTTAGCAGGATATAGATGATACCATAAAGATGAGAAATGCGGGGTACCTCTGGTGCAACAGAAGAATACGATTA